GCAGCCACGATTCTGGTGTTTCAGCGCCAAGGGGAGCGCGAACAAACCAGGGCTCGCTGGTCAAGGAGGTGCTGAAGAATTTCACCGTCGAGAAGTTCAATGACGAGGGCTATGATGATTGGGCCTGGAAAATGCAACTATATTTCCGTCAGATTGGATTGCTGAAACTAATGATTGGGGAGGAGCCTAGACCGAGTGACCCCGCGCTGCAGGAAGATTGGGACGAGCGCTCCTCGGCTGGCTACTATTTGATGTCGCACAGCTTGGAGCTGTGGAGGGTATGTGGCGGGTTCTAAAGGCCCACATCGCGGTATGAGGGTTCTAAACCCATTCCCGGTATGTGGCGGGCCAAATGGGGCAGGTTGGGCTGACATGGGGGCTTGGAAGGGTACACGGGAGCGGCGCGTGACGAGGTGACTCGTGTTAGTGTCAAATGTTGTAGCCTGTAGTGAGGTTTGTCTTAGGGGGTACAGAAGTTAGGGTTTGTCATATGTACCCCAACCAACATCAATGCAACATCCATTCCTCATTCTGACATGGTATCAGAGCGGTCTCGGGTTCGAATCCCGGTGTATGCACATGTTGGCCGTTGCCACTGTGCTCAGTCCTGGGCCTCCCAGTGTGGGGGGGTGTCAGTAGAGCTACACTGTGAGATCCCGATTGATCCTAGGGGGGGTTACAGGTGCGGTTGCCTGGGGGGTTATGGGCGCACTGACCCGCTACTGAAACAAGCCCTTTTATCCCAATGGTCTAGTGGTTGGGATTCTGACATGGTTGGGCTTGGAAGGGTACACGGGAGCGGCGCGTGACGAGGTGACTCGTGTTAGGTGGGCGGGGAGACGTGGCATGGGGTAGGTGGGTGGGTGTGACGTGGCACGTGGGGCTGGTTGTTCCCTGACGTGGCAGATGGATGAGGGTGTGACGTGGGGGGATGTGAGGCTTGGGGCTGACGTGGCGGCTTGGACGGGTACACGGGAGCGGCGCGTGACGAGGTGACGCATGTCAGGTGGGTGGGGGGAGACGTGGCATGGGGTGGGTGGGTGGGTGGGTGTGACGTGGGGCGCGTGGGGCTGGTTGTTCTTTTTGGCCCAAATGAACCGATAAAAGAAGGTTCTTCTTTTTGGCCCAAATATTTGGGCCCAAATGAACCGATAATATTGAGGGTTCTCATGTGCCGCTCTTATCCTTTGAGAAAAGGTTGCTGTGGGGGGTACCGTGGCAAGTTTTAGTGGAAGAGGAGGTATCAACATTTCTTTCACCAAGTGTCCAGAACGATATTTTCTTCATTTCCTATCTGCCACAGTAGATACGCTTGCTACCTGTTCGTCTATCGCCACTTGTCCTTGCGCATCATTCGTGTCACTTGTTTTTGTGGATGTGTCATCTTCTCTTACCGTTTCTTGTGGGTGTCACAGTTAACAGACTGTTCCACTGCATCGTACATGAAATGTAAGTTTCATTTTACCATCCGTCTCAAGACCATTGTTAGGAATGGGTTGCAGAGCAAGCTGCATAGCAAAATGGAGGATTCACTTCGAGGTTTCTTCAGAGAGTTGTAAGCAAGCTGTTGCTCACTTTGACTGGAACAATCTTATGAAAATAGATTCTGTACTATGCAAGAACAGAGACCTTTACATGGAAACCTGCTTGTCAGGCTTCTCTACCAGGCACACAAAGCCAAAAAGAAACACGCACGGAGACACCTAGGGGACAAGTGCGGATCTTATTAGGTACATATTAGTCTATGCCACAGGAGGCCGTGAAAAATGGGGGGAAGCTGTGGCGCCGTTTAGGGGGCGGCGACGTTGGCGAGGGCCTTGGGCGCGATTTCAACGCCGTCGGCCTGGCCGGGCGAGGAGTTTTCGACCTGCAGCGAGAGGAGCGTCTCCTCCCACTCCTTGGCGGGGCCCTTCCACGACAGGTCCTGCGCCATGCCGTTGAGAATCATCTGGTCGAACGCGGGCGTGCCGAATACCTTGAGCGCGCGCTGCACTCCCGCCGCTAGCGTCGCCACGTCCTCCGGATACACAGCCTCGCACTGCGCCGCGCGCACACAGGGGATAGAGGGACACGGAGACAACGGGATTGTTAGCACAAGGATGCGACGGTACCCGTACTGAATGCAAGTAATGAAGGCACGAAAGGTAAAGGCGAGGGAGGATAAAGCACAATCAAGGGGGGGGGCGAGGGCAAGGCAGCGAGGGCACTCACGTCGACGTTGAACTCGCCGATCTGGAAGCCCGTGACGCCGTCCTTCACGGTGTCCACGAGCCCGCCCGTGGACGCCACGATGGGCACGGTGCCGTAGCGCATGGCGTGCAGCTGGATCAGCCCGCACGGCTCGAAGCGCGACGGCACGAGCATGAAGTCGGCGCCGGCCGTCATGAGATGCGCCAGCGGGGTGTTAAACTTGACGACGCCGCGCGCCTTGTCGGGGTACTTGGCCTCGAGCGCCTCGAGCTGCTGCTCCAGGTACTTCTTGCCCGTGCCCAGCACGATCAGCTGCACGTCGCCCGCCAGAATCTCCTCCACCGCCGCCGACAGAATGTCCGACCCCTTCTGCTCCTCCAGCCGCCCGATGAACGCCAGCAGCGGCACGTCCGCGCGCACCGGCAGCCCCACCTCCGCCTGCAGCGCCTCCTTGAGCGCCGGCTTGATCTCCAGCACGTTGGACGCGTCGTAGCGCGCGTCGAGGAACTTGTCCTCCGACGGGTCCCACTCCGACACGTCCATGCCGTTCACGATGCCCTTAATGCCCTTGGCGCGAATCACGTCGTCCAGCTCCACGCCCTTGGCCGGCCCCGACTGCAGCTCCGCCGCGTAGTTGGGCGACACCGTCAGCACCATGTCCGCCTCCGTGAATCCCGCCTTCAGCCAGTTGATCTTCGGCCCCTTCACCGGCGTCGCGTACCTGAGAGCAGGATCGGTATGAGAGCGGCGCAGATTGAATAATGATCATGTGAGGAACGAAAACATTCATTCCAAGACTCAGGTTTGATTGATTGTTATGCAAATTCATGGAGTGCTTATCCACACAAAGATTTTATCAACCCAGAAACCAGGACCGCGCTACCACCCGCAACTTACCCGTCAGTAAAGGCGAAGGAGGGGCGGAAGGAGTCGGGGAGGTTGAGGCGGTCGAAGTCGCCGGGCGCGAAGCGGCCCTGGTACGCGATGTTGTGCGTGCAGAAGGCGACCTTGGCCTGCCGGAAGTGGCCCTGCTGCTGCAGCACCTTGAGGTACGCCGGCAGCACGCCCGTGTGCCAGTCGTTGGCCACGAACACCACGTCCTCGCCATACGTGCCCGAGTAATACGGGTTGTTGTTGAGCGCCAGCACCTTGGGCGCCATGAGCGCCGCCTGGTTGAAGAGCGAGAAGCGCAGCACGTTGTCGTCGTAGTCGACGCCCGTCTTGGGCCCGTACACCTTGCTGCCCGTCTTGCCGTACACCTTGGCCAGGAACAACGGGTGGTCCACGAACACGCGATCCACGCCGCGCTTGTAACAGTGGAAGAACCGCACCTTCTCCACCGCGTCGCCCACCTTCACCTGCCCGTGCCAGCACGACACGCCGCGCGACAGCGCAACCACGTGTTAGGAACATCAAATCTTGCTTCGTCTTCAACGTTGAATTTTTCTATCTCAAATCGACGATAGCGATAAATTTTAGCAGAAGGCTGCAAAGCGGCACTCGAGATTTAGGCTCAGAGGCAGCGCGGATTCGGCACTTACATCAATGATTACGTCGGTGTCCCAGGCGTCCTTGTACTGGTCGTAGCGTGGCGACACCGTCATCACACGGTGGCCCCTGGCGGCGAGAGCGGGGGGGAGGCCGCCCAGCACGTCGCCCAGGCCGCCAGTCTTGCTCCACGGCGCCACCTCCGCCGACACGAACACCAGCTTCATGCCGGGCTCCGTCTGCTCGCACCGCACCACGCCGCGCTGCGCCTCGGTGCTTTGCACCACTGTGGACTTGGCGCGCAGCTGAGCGGCCTGGGAGGTGTGCTTGGCGCCCGCGAAGACGGAGGTCGACTTGAGCCCATCGAAGCGCGCGATGTTGGCTGAGCCAGGGCCGGAGACCACGGGCGAGGCGTGGGACGCCTTAGTCGTCGAGAGGGAGACCTTCATCGCCGAGGAGACGGGAGCTGTTGCCATGATCTGCTGCATTGCGGTCCTCTGACTTAGTTAGTGCCTTTTAATCAAGAAACTGGAGCTGATTTCGATTTCAGGACACTAGGTGGGGAGAGACTGGAGATTGAAGAAGTGATGTCGAAGTGGGAATTTATGGGGAAGAACTGAGTGAGGCATGGAAATTGTCGAGTCGCGCAAACTTCAGAATTTGCGGGAAGAAATCTCCAGAAGGGGAAGAACTCGTGGTGGGAAGGGGGGTCAAGGTGAGGTGTGGGAATGCAGTTGGAAGGAACTTGTGGTGGGCCATGACCGGCGGGTGTTTGCGATAAGCGGAGGGGTGGTATGGAATCTTGAGTTTGTTTCCAAGGCTGCGGAAGCTTTGAATGGCTCTCAATTAATGCCTGGCCTGTGACGGAGGCTCGTTAGTATGAAAACTGCGTGGTTACGGAAAACAGACGGAGGAGAAAACTTGTTCCGAGATCCTTGGAGTTTGTGTTCGCGATTTGTCACGTCAGCTGGAGTGCCACGTATGTGAAAAATGCCAATTGAAGCGCACCGACAGATCCCGTTTTCGTCATGAGCTTTTAGTGGCCAATTCAAATCCTTGGATACACATACATAATTTGACATTTTTTTTAACAGGGATGAAGCACAACCAGCACAAATTTGTTGTCACTAGAAGTATTCTAAAAAGCATCACCAATGAGCGGAATATGGCATTCCGAAACCCCTTAGTTCATCTAAGCAATTTATGCCACCATTGTTATTTGTCCAGAAAACTATTGGCTGCTTAGCATACCTAAAAACACTGCGTGGATGGGTGATTTCGAGTTTCCTCTGACACGTTGCAGCACCAGCAGCAACTCCCCATTACTCAACTGTGCCACCATCTCCAGAACCACCACCAGCAGCAGCACCCCCCCCAGCAGTAACAGCAGGTGGAACCCGGGCAGAGAGTATGGGTGGGAGAACGAGGGGGGCGCTCCAGTGGGGGAAGGGGGAGATGCGGGGCGCTTCCAGATGCACATGCCACACAAGCACCCGAGAGCAGTCGTCTGCTAGCGCCTCCATCTGTGATTCGTCTGCCACTAGTTGCTCTATGAACGTGGTCTCCTGCACGGTTGCAACGTGTGCACAGACAGTGGGGGTGAGAGACAGATCGGAGAGGAAACACAGCGGGTTGAGTCAACTCCTATTTCCCACATCCAGCCCAGACACAGGGCCATATGCAAACAGCAGATCACAGCAATCCTGACGCTCCCACAATCTCCCAAGTAATTCTCACCCATCACCCCTCCTCCCCCCCCCCCCCCCCCCCCCATGCATCCTCCCTACACACAGCTCTCTTTTTGTTTTGCTCCCCCCTTTCACCCATGCCACACCATCCCAAACACCACCTTCCACCTCCCTCCCTCACACCAAACCTCATCTCACCTGAAACCCCTCCTTCACAGAATCCAGCTGTCTGATTGGCTGGTCCGTCGGGCGGCGCCACAGCGACGGGTTCCAGAGAATGGTGGAGTTGAACGCGAATCCGCACATGTCCACGTGGAAGCGCCTCACTCGCCGGCTCTTCTCGTTGGTGTGCCACCCAATCACCCTGCCGGCCTCGCACACTGGCCCCTCCAGAGTTGCCCGAGACTTGCCCTGCTGCAGCATTGCCACTGGCCATGTGCCAAAGCGTCTGGGGCATCAAGGTGAGGGGGGAGGAGAGGGGTGAGGTGGGAAAGATGAGGTCAGGGATGGTGCAGAGCGGCGTGGAGTGGGAGTGGGAAACGTATGGCGGGAGTGCATGCAACAAAGGTGAGGAGCCGTGGGACGTGGTGGAAGACGGGGGAAAAACAGGCAGACAAACAAGCATTGCAGCATTGCTGTTGGTGCCCAGGGGAGGCTGTTGCAGGACTCGGTGCGTGGCTAAAGGCGTGGGTCAAGATGGTAATGCAGGAGAAGAGAGGGGAGGGGAGGGGAGGGGAGGGGAGGGGAGGGGAGGGGAGGGGAGGGGAGGGGAGGGGAGGGGAGGGGAGGGGAAGGGAGCGTGGGGATGTGAGGAAACGCAGGAGAAGAGAGAGAACGGAACCGAGACAGAGACATAGCACCAACAAACGCCTCCACCTACCCCACCCATCCTCCCCCACAACCCGAACTTCCTCCAACCCCCCTTTACATTCACTCGATGGCGCGCATCTCCTCGAACAGCTCAAGCGAGTAGATACCATCATCATCCGCATAAATAATTCCGTTCAGGCAATGCTTTTGAAGCGCCTCAAAAGCCTTCGTACTCACTTGATGGCGCGCATCTCCTCAAAGAGCTCGAGCGAGTAGATGTTATCGTCATCCGCGAAGTACATGATGCCGTCCAGGCGGTGCTTCTCCACGTGCTCCATGGCGGCGTTGCGCTGGTGCACGCCGCGGTCCTTGATGTCCGTCATGTTCTTGTGCGCCACCAGGTGCCGGTACACCAGCCCCGTCCCGCGCAGCAGCGCCGCCGTCTCCGCGGATTGCGGGAAGATCTCCACCACGAGCCAGAGCACCGGCGGCGGGACTTGCGCGAGGAGGTTCGCGAGGCGGTGCAGGTACATGGCTTGGAATGGGCGGACGTACGTGGGGGTGACGATGATGAGCAGCGGGCGCACGCCGCCGCCTGTTTCTTTCCCCGTGCGCGCGTCCACGCGGTGGTACGCGGAGCACTGCGCGCTGTCGGGGGCCGGCGGAACGCGGAGGGTGGTGAGGGAGGAGGCGGATTCGGAGGGGAAGGAGGACGAAGACGAGAGCGGAGAGGAGGGCAGTCGACCCAAAGTGCTGCTGCTACCACTGTCCTTGTGAGTGCCTAGAATAGTATCGCTGCTGCTGCTGCTGCTGCTGCTGCTGCTGCTGCTGCTGCTGCTGCTGCTGCTGTCGCCACTCCCACCAGCCAACAGCATTGTCCCTCGCACGCGATCCCCGGCCGCTTCCACCTCCGCCTCCCTCCGCGCAACCGCCTCCGCCAGCCGCTCTTGGCGGAAGCCCGCGGGGGAAAGCGCGGGGCGCACGACCTTCTCCTGGCGGAATGGGTGCAGGTCGGAAAGCAGAGGCCACACGCCCTTATGCGCGCCGTCTAGCCACAGCAACCCCGCAGTCAGCCCCGCGATAAAGCACAGCAGAAGGGTCCCCGGCCGAATACCCATCGCAGCAACCGATAGCGCGGGGTTGCGCTTCTGCCCGCTGACCGCTCCGCCGACTCCGCTTCCGCTTCCCCCCGAGGACATCCGCGCGAACCAGCCCTGCGCTGCGCCCGCGGATCCGGGGAGTCGGGACTCTCCTCCGCCTTCCCCATCGGACTCCCCCTTCCCCCAATCTCTCCCCTTCTCCGCGTCGTCCCTCTCGTCCCCCGCCCGCGCGGTGCTTCGCCGGGGGAGGGGAGTGACGCCCGGGTTTCCGCCCATGGGCGAGAGCGCGGAAGCGAGAGGCGCTGCGCCAAACGACGACACAGAATCCGCGGAACCTGCTACTCCCCCTCCCCCTCCCCCTCCTGCTGCATCTGTCGCAACTGCTTCTGCAAAAGTGGCTCCGTAAACGGAGGAGGCTTCAACTTCAGCTGGTCTGTCCCCGTGCCTGTCTCCGCCGTATCCCGTCCCCGGTGTGCTGCCGAATGACGCATCCACCCTACCCATCCCCGCTATAGCTGCACCCTCTTCCCGCTAAAGCTGCTGCTGCTGCTGCTGTTGCAGTGATACCGCAAGTGATCTAGATTATGGAAGGCGGCTCGTGCGTGGCCTGGAGAGACGTATTCGACGGAAGGCTGGGTTTGCAGGAGAACTAGCCGTTACGGCCGGTGATGCTCTAGGTTACCGCCGAAATACCCTTGAAGTGAGACTTATTTGTTGTGCTTTTATCGGGCGAGGAGACAGCATGCGAAGATGTTCGGCTACCCAGGAGTGACGTCGAGCTAAGCTGCGGGATGGGTGATGGAAAGTGACGCAGGAAAGCACAGGGACAGACGCAGATACAAACACACGCATTAAGCAGGTGATGATCGCCCTTCGAGCTTGAAGAGCAGGGACGCGAGAGGAAGGATGCAGGATGAAGCAGGAGAAACAGGATAAAGCCTCAAAAGCGGATAAAGGGGAGTCCAGTAATGCCTACCAGGAAACCCGCTAGTGGCGTTGGATCATGCTCTATGCAATACAGATTATTGACACGTAATGAGCGTTGGGAGTCAATTACTACGGCAGGGTGCTTGCTGTGACATCATAGTGGAACCGTCGCTTCATGATAAAAGCTTCGGTCGTAGAACGTTCCAATAAGAAGGCCAAAACTAAGCTTACCGTTGTTAAAAGAGCTAATCAGCTTCTTTTTAGAACTCGCAGGTCGTTTGGTTTGCAGCAACGGAACGGCAGTCGACTGTTGTTTGCATCCGAAGGAGCCATGTCCTAGCTAACGGGTATAAGCAGCCTATTTCCTTAACTCGACAAACAACGTTGAATAGGTCTAACTAACTTATCTGCTGGCTACGTGGTCCGTATCAGAAAATACTTCGGTGATGGATGCTTGAACTAGGTCCCACCGCTTACTAACTAGTATGCTGTCAACATAGTTGGTTGGTCCTCGTTGTGGGTGAGGCGATCCCAGTGTTGACAGGCACTGCCACTGCCAAGCTAACAACAACACATGAGGGTTTTCCTCGCGGTTCAGAGGGGTTAAACAGCAAACAACTTTTGAACCCTTGCGCACCAGACTAAACCATACGAAAACGTTTCCAGCAGACAGGCGAGAGAGAGGCAGGGGGAGATGAGCCAAACGGTAGAGAGTATCCCCCACACAGTTGTTTCCTTACGTCAGCGGAAAGGCGCACTGGTTCCTTCGAATCCCCGCTGCCCCTTCCCCGCTCCCCCCCGCCCCATTACCCCCGACCCGAATTCTTCTGTACTGTTCGTCCCTCCCGCGGCACAAACGGAACTGTGCTTGTGCTTTCCGCCCGAAATGCTCATACTTCGCTTTGATTGCGAGTGTGCTTTCAGTGAAGGGCAACTAACGAGCGCGCATGTCACCTGACACACGCCTGACAGTCAACGTGACAAAACATCCGAGTCGCACGAACGTGGATTGGTTGAGCGAACTAGCTCGGCGACTCGATAAAAACGATCTGTGAAACCAGCGGGTGGTGGTCTCGCTTGTTAAAATCACAGCAGGGTCAAGGAAACATACCACATTCAACTACACAATAAACCAGATAAGTCCATATTCTTATTATTAGAGACAGATAATCAGGCTAGCAGACATTCATAAGGCGAAAATTACTGCTTGAGCTCTAAACATCATGTTGAACAAGCTGGCTCCGAGTCTGCATACGATACAAGTGTCGTTAAACAATCGCATGGGGTTTGTTTGTTCTTTTATGAGCTGCAGGTGCAAATGTAATGCTCCTGGCACAAGAAAATCCAAGGTGCATACTGAAATCCCTATGTCTGAAGTCCACTCCACCATTCTAGATGTCGACACAATGATACCAGTAGAAAGAGCAGCACCACAGAACACCGTTCTTGCAGACCACAGCCTTGCATACCATTAACACCCCTGATCACGACAAAGATGTCATTCTGAGCTGAAATGCTGGGGTGAAAAAGTGACCCCACGCAAAGGAAACCGCCAGCACACTGCTCCCAGTGGCTGCTGCCATCAGCATATACATGACTATAATCTGCAAGTGCGTGGCTTCAAACGGGGACGCACCACCCATAATCAGCCCAGTCATAGCTCCCGGCAGGGAAATCAAACCCACAGTCTTGGTAGAGTCAAGGAGAGGAGCCAGGGCGACTACCAGCGCTCGCCTCCTGAGTGTTGCTGCTGCTTGCATGGGATTGGCCCCCAACGCCAATGCCGCCTCCACCTGTGCTGCGCTTGACTTGAGATCTTCTCGCAATCTGCGGAGTGCCACGCCAGTGGCTGTCATTGCATTGCCTACAAGCATCCCCGCAACTGGAATGAGGAAGCGCGGCGTGGCAGGGAAGATGCCAAGGAGGAGCAGCGCGACGAGGGAGACAGAGCAAGAGATGAAGATGGACGCACAGGTGACGAGGCGAAGAGCTGGGAGAGAGGCACGGGAGGCTGCAGTAACCCCCGCGATGGTAACCATGAAGCAGAAGGTGAGGAAGATGAGAGGCACCGAGACTATCCCGGTAACGGAGAAGACAAAATTGAGTACAAAGCCGATGGCACAGAGCTGGAGGAAAGCCCTGAGGGAGGAAAAGAGCATGTCCATTTCAAGGCCTAGGGAGTTGATGAGAGATAGCACCATGGCTGCTGCTACTAGGGCTGTTGCTGCCAGCGTGCGACCCATCCCTGCCAGGAACGCTGCCACGTCATCCTCCCACCAGGCGACAGCCGCGTGAAGGAGAAAGGCAGAAGAGGAGGCCATAAGGGAGGAGAAAAGCGCCATGTGCGCTAGGTACAGGTCACGAGGAAGCAGGAAGTGGCTGGATTCTGTTACTGCCTAGCCTGACTGCCTGACTGTTGGGCCTGACTGCGCTGCCGCCTGCCTGAGCCTGACTGTTGAGTCAGTTGCTGTCACTCTCTCGGCCTACTCCCTGTCCGCGCTGCCCTGGAGCAAGCCCCCCAGGAAATCGTGCACGAGGTGGTGCGTGGCGTGCAGAGCCGCGTTGGGCAAGCGCAGCAGCGCCGTGGGCAGCGCGTCGGCGACGGCGCCGTTGTGCAGCAGCACGAGCGAGTGCGACACACGCAGCACCTGCACCGCACGCGGAGCACGGAGGGGCGGGCGGAGAGGGTTGGAGGAGAGGGTGAGGGGAGAGGGTGGGGGGAGAGGGTGGGGGGAGTGGGCGGGGGGGAGAGGGTGGGAAATGGAACAGTGGGGGAACGGGAGGGGTCACTCCGGGAATGCGGATTGCTCGAAGGGATTTACGAGGCGTGAAATCATGGACAGACAAAGCAAGATGGAGATGCGACATCAGGGATGGGGGTGAAGATCACGCACACAAACTCACGCCATTGCCCGTGCTTACCTCCAATGATATCATAAATCTTCAAGTTTCACTCGTAACAGTTTCGTTTGAATAATAAAAAACTCCCCGATCCATGCCCCATTCCCCCTTGAAAATCCCCCCCTTGAAGCCCCTTTCCAAATTCCCGCGCTGACGTCTCTTCCTTGACGCTCCCCCTTCCCTTCTCGTAATCACTACGCACGTACCTGTTCCGCGCTGTGGCTGACCTGCACCAACGTAACGCCTCGCTCGACATTTGAGGCGCCTTCCCTGACATTCCCCTTCCCTGCTCGTCGTCATCACTGCGCACGCACGTACCTGTTCCGCGCTGTGGCTAACCCAAACCGCCGTCAGGCCTCGCTCGCGGCACAGCGTCTGCACGGCTTGCTCCACTTTAAGAGTCGCCGCGGGGTCTAACGCGCTCGTCGGCTCGTCCAATAGCAACACCTCGGGGTCGTTCGCCAGTGCGCGCGCGAGCGCCACGCGCTGCGCCTGTCCCCCGGATAGGCTCCGCGAATCCCGCTCCGCGAACGACGGCTCGAGCCCGGAGAGACTGAGTAGCTCGTGGATCTTCTCGTCTGGGAGCTGCCGACCCTCGAGGTTCGGCCCGAACCTGATGTTGTCGGCAACGGTTCCGTCGAAGAGGCTCGGAGTCTGAAAGAGCATGCCAACGCGGCGCCGGAGGGTGATTACAGGAAGCTTCGAGGAAGTTATGTCGGTGCCATCGAGGAACACGGAGTTCCGAGGCGGCTCGGTGAGGCGATTAAGAGTGCGTAGGAGAGTGGTCTTCCCGCTGCCGCTAGGGCCGACAAGAACGGTAATTTGGCCACATGGAACTTCGAGGCTCACGTCTGACAGGAGCGGTGGAGATCCGTCACCTTTCGGGGATTGGATGGTCAAGCCGCGCACGGAGAACTTGGAATGAGTAGGCTGTCCCGGATCGCGAAGGAGGTTCCCGTCCGAGAAAGACGAACGTGACGGAGACAATGCCGTTTCAAGTCCTGCCGTCGAATCGTTGACGGATAACGTCACCTCGCCGTTTACTGATCCGTCCGCATCTGCCGGCGTCGTTGCCGCCGCGGCGCGTTGCAGCAGGGGTTCTCTGATGTCTGGATTCGGTAAGCTGCTGGCAGCTTGAGGCACGGAAAACATGAAGAAATATACAGCTTTGAAAATGCAGGAGCTGCGATTAAGCCGTGCGTCCGGCAGTTGTCCACGCGAATATTATAGAACCTACCGCCGCTAGCGCAGGATACGGAGATTATTCAAGCGAGGCGGGAGGCAGTGAGAAAGTTTGAATGCCAGATTTTATGTTTGGTGCTTGCTGCTTGGTGACTACGAAAAAGGTATGTAGCTTTTTCTTTGAACAGACTTCCCTTCTCACCGACCAGGGTCGACCCAGATGAGACCCAAAAGCTAGTGACTCTATGCGGGACGTTATCGTAAGGTTCAGTCCGGTGTGCAATTGTCCAAAACGGTAAGAGCCCAGATACGTAATGTAGCGTATTTGAACAAATGAAGGTGAATCGCCCTCACCACCAGCGTGTTTCCTGGATAACGTGGTGTGTTTATGAAGGGTACAATTGCGTGACAGCCATTCTGTGACAGTTCGCGATGCGTGAAGGAAGCTGGTTGATCAGGAGGAAACCCCCAAAGCCGCTGGATGCAGCGCATCGGGATGGTTCACCAAGCAGCAAAAATTCCTGGGAAAACTGGCAGCTGGAGAACTGGGGGAGGGGTTGGGCTGTTGGATTCTCCAATGCTGGACGCAGCTCTAGGAAAAGCCTTTCATGTTGACAATTTTGTTATGCTTTATTTAGCTGTACTTCTTCAACACACAACACTATCTAGGATAAGCATATGAAGAAACGAACACTCCATATGGCTCAATTTGCTAAAGGTTAGAAAAACTGTGGGTATGATGCACAAGATGCCCCTTCACTCCTTCACATGCGGCCTCACACAGCACGTGAAGCCAGCTCTACGACGAGCAGCAGCCAACGAGTCCTGAGTACGAATATTAGGAGGACGGTGACGGGGAACAAGTTTATGTATAATAAGCTCTCAAGTGAGAAACAGGACGCGGAGATAAAGTTGTAGCTGATATACCACCCTATCTATCTAGCACAAATGTAGCAATATAGCTTACAATGAGTGTGCAAAAGCATTTGCTTACCATGGTGTGCAGTGGAGAAGTCGAGTTGTCCACGTCCGCATGCTTAGTATCCCCCCCAACTTGTAGTTGCTGCTGATGTAATTGTACTTGTTTTGGTTCACCTCCTTTCTCCAGCCCTTTCCCTCCTTTGTCACTCCTGTCATCACCCCCAGTCTTCCCCCCGTCTCTCCCTTCTCTCGACTCCACTCCCTCCTCCCCATCTCTTCCCCCTCCCACCGCCCCTCCTCCAACCCCCGCTACAACTGCACGCCCCCCACCACCGCTCTCCACCTGATCCAGTCCCTTTCCACCCCCTTCACCACTCAGACCATCTCCCATAACCCCCTCCTCACCCCTCTCCAACCCCTCATCCCTTCCCACCCCTCCTGGGCTCCCATCCTCCCCAGACCCTGCACCAACCCCCCCATCCCCACTCCCTCCTCCTCCTCCTCCTCCTCCTCCTCCTCCTCCTCCTCCTCCTCCTCCTCCTCCTCCTCCTCCTCCTCCTCCTCCTCCTCCTCCTCCTCCTCCTCCTCCTCCTCCTTCACCAGTCGCCCCCATACCCGCACTCCCCCCACCGCTTCTCGACCGGGTGACAGAGCGGACGCGGGACATGAGTCTTGAGCCAGCAGCAGAGAGAGAGAGCGACGAGGAGACCGTGAGGGAGGACGAGCGGAGGGGGCGGGGAAGGGACCCCCCCGCACCCCACTTGCTGGAAGGAGAGTGGGGGGCGTTGGTGGAAGAAGAAGAGTGGGATTGCGGAGATGTGTGGGATGGTGGGGAGGGGTGGGCTGATGGCGGAGAGTGGGAAACTGGGCCGGTGTGAGCTGGCGGGGAGGAGTGGAGAGGAGAGGAGAGGGAGGATATGGGGGAGGGAGAGGGGTGGGGATCAGAGGGGGAGTGGGCCTTAGGGGGGGTGGTGGTGCGGGTGTTGGAGGGAGTGGCAGCGGGGCGGGGAAGGAGAGTGGTGGGGGTAAGCTTCTGGGAAGGTGCATGGAGGAGCATGGATCCTGGTAACCGTGGGGCAGGCGGAGTGGTGGTAGTGGCATTTGGTGTGGCGGATGGCGGGGCGGTTGTTGCTGATGTGGGTGAGGCAGTGACAGTGACAGGTGCAACGTGTGTAGTGGTTGTTGCAGGTGTGGAGGCTGTAGCAGGAGTAGCGGCTGCTGCAGGTGCAGCGGCAGTGGCAGGTGACGCCGATGGAGCAGAAGGGGCACAAGTGGGAGAGGCAGCAGCGGCCATACAGGAAGCATCATTACCAGGAGAAGCGGAACCGGTAGGTCCTCCAGAAGTGGGTGATTCTGGTGCCACTGCTCCAGCTGCTGCTGGCTCGTCTGGTGCATGTGATGCTTGAGGGGGTGTTTTACGCCCTGCGAGTGTATCAGCTTCTTCTTTCGCTTCTGCAAGGGTGGCTTCTGCCGCTGCCGCCCCTGCAGGTGCTTCTTCTTCTGCTGCTGCTGCTGCCTGTGCTGATGAATGTGGTGATAGCAATGCCTCTTGTCCATCTCCCTGTACCGCCGCCACCGCCACTGCCGACGCCGCCACTGCCGCTGCCGCCACCGCTGCTGCTGATGCTGCTGCTGTTTGTGCCCTCTCCTCGTCCTCTGCCGGTGTGAGCCCATCAGGCAGCAGCAATGCACCTAGAGCCAACTTTTCCACGCCTTCACGCACCCCTAATCCTGAATTATCGTGCTCAGATTCACCATCTGACCTGCCCTCTGCACGCGCTGCGCTATTTGACCCCGTATCCTCCGTTCTCTCATTCCCCGTTGCTCCTATTAACCCCCCAGCACCGATCTGCACCCCATTGCTTGGTTCCTCTTGAACTCCCTGCGCCCCATCACTCGTAGTGCCAGGTTTCCCCTCTTCCTTCCCCTTTTCGTTACCCTCTCCCTTCCCCTCTCCCATCCCTTCTCCCCCCTCCTCTCCCCTCCGTTCTCCCCCTTCTTCTCCTCTCCTTTCTCCTGATCCCAACCCCTCTTCACCCCCGGCCTCTCTGTGTCTCGTTCTCCCTGCCTCTGCCTCGTCCTCTGCCACTGCATCTCCCTCCATCTCTACTCCTTTACCAGATCCAGTCATTGCTTCTTCTATCTTGCCATCAACCCCGACCACACTAGACCCTATCACAATCGCCTCCTTTTCTTCCACCCTCGTCTCCCCTCCATCTCCCCTCTCCCCCTCCTCCCGCTCCTCCCTTCCATCCAAACCACTCTTCACCACCACCTCTCCCTTCCCCACAGCTCTCCTCCACTCGCCCTCCCCTCCTTCCTCCCCTCCTCCCTGCCTCTTCCCCTCCTCCGTCCCATCCCCATCATCCAAAGCAACGCCCACCACTGCTCCACTCGTCTCATCCTCCCCTCGTGCCGGCCCCTCTTTACGAGCCACCTCATAAATAGACCCCTTTTCCCCCTCTGCCCATGTCCCACCCTCTCCGCCCTCCAAAACCTCTACCCCTTTCCCCGCCTCTGCCCCTTCTGCCCGCTCTGCCCCCCCGGCCCCCACGGTCCCCACGGTCCCCTCATCGTCATCCTGGTAGTTGAGGAAAGCGTCGACCACAGCGTCCTCCTCCTCCCCCAGGCCCAGACTACTCATGGCATCGCCTCCCTCCTCTGCCTCGTAAAACTCCTCCTCTGATGATGATGAATCGCCCTCCCTCTGCTCTTTTTCCTCTTTTTCCTCCTTTTCCTCCTTGTCCTCCTTTTCCGCGCTTGCATCCCGCTCCTCCCCCTCCCTCTTTGTTTCCATTCCACTTTCCTCTTCTCCACACTCCTCCATCTCCCTCCCCTTCCCCTCCTCTCTCCTCTTCCCCTCCGCCCCCAGCCCAGCACCTCCTTCCACATCTCCCACAATCGACACTCCTCCCTTCACCAACAGTAACCTACCACTCTCTAGCTCACCTGTACCCTCGCCTGCCCGGCTGCCACCACCAACAGCACCATCACCAGAAGAAGCACTCGAGTCCCGGCCACAAGCCATACTGCTGCTTAGACTGCTGCCTAGGCTGCTATCCTGGCTGCTATCCACTCTCTTGTTGAGACTGTTCCTTGAGCTGCTGCTGCTGCTGCTGCTTCCCAAGCTGCTGCTCACCCTGCTTCCCCGATTGCTGTCAGGGGTCACTACCTGATGCCCCTCCGCCCCTCTCCTGTCTCCCTGCTGCCCCCTTCTCTCTTCGTCTCCACCTCTCTCCCCAACTGCAGTCCCACACAGATTCCCCCGCTCCTCCTCCCCACTGCCCAACCCTTCTCCTTCCACACCCACGCCTCTCTCCCCCACCACCCCCAAGCGTGCACCTGACGTTTCACCTACCCTCTCACCTGACATTTCACCTGACAAGTCATCACCCGGGGCTCTGCACTCCCCTGCGCTTCCCTCCCTCCCAAGCACCCTTGTCTCGTCACCGCCCTCTCTTTCCTCCCCTTCTGTTCCTCCACTCCCCCCTGCCACCGCCACCCCCTCCCCTCCCCCGCTCTCCCCAATCATACCTAGGAAAGTTCTAAGAGCCTTTTCGAGTTCCCTCGCTGCGTCCCTCTTCCGAACCCGTTGACCTAGTTCACCCGCCTCACCCTCCCCATCTCTTCCACCTGCTCCTTCCCACTGCACTCCACCTCCCACCACGCCCTCCGACACCCCCTCCTGCTGCCCTTCCACCTCATCCTTTCCCCCAGACAAGCCTGTCGAGTCGAGTTGCGCCAGGAGGGATTGCAGTAGCGGCACCATAGAGTGGAGGGGGGGTGAGGCTGGTCCCACAGCAGTGGGTGGGAGAGCAGGAGAGGGAACAGCAGGGGAAGGATCAGCAGAGGGGGGATCAGCAGAGGGGGAAGCAGCATGGGGAGGAACAGCAGAAGGGTCCACCTCTTCCTTTCCCCCGTCCTCCCCCCTCCTTGTCCTCTCCTCCCCCATTTTTTCCCCTTCATCCGCTCTCCCTTCCTCGTCCTCCGCGCGCCTCCCCCCTTCCACCTGCCTAAGCCCACTGCTCCCAGCAGCATACCTCCACCCCACGGTCCCCACCTCCCCCCCAACCGACAAAGACCTAAACCCGCCCCTGAACCCTACTCCCTCCCTAAACCCCCGAGGGGATACACCAGGGGAGGAACCAGGACTAGCAGACCCCTCCCTCCCGTCCCTCCCGTCTCTCCCCCACCGCTGCCGCCTCATTTCGTTTCGGAAGGTGCGGCGGGGGGAGAGGAAGGAGGAGAGGCGAGGCGAAGCCGGGGCATCCATTGAGCTCCACCGAGGGGAGCGCACGGCGGGTTCTTCTGGAAAGGTTCCTGCACCTCCTGCTGCTGCTGCTGCTGCTGCTGCTGCTGCTGCTGTTGGTGATGATGCTGATGCTGAGGCTGCTTGCGTAGAGGTTGTTGCTACCACCAGCAGTCTAAGATCCTTTGGAGGGGGGATAGGAGAGGTGTGGGAGAGAGGAGAGGCGGATAGGGTCGTGTCCCTCTCCCTTTCTCTCTCACTCTCACCCCCAAATGGCACTGCCCCGTTTCCTCTGGACTCCGCCAGAATAGCATCTGCTGCCCGGGAAAGGACCGAGTCGGGCAGGGAAAGACTATTCCGGCCCGTCTTTTGAAGCATTCTTGAAGGGCGCGGAGGAGGAGAGGAAATGGCAGCAACAGCAGCGGCAGAGGCAGCGGCGGCAGAGGCAGAAGCAGAGGCAGCAGAAGCCAAAGGAGCAGAAGAAGAAGCGGCAGAGGCAGCGGGAGGGGCGGTAGAAGAGGCAGCTTGAATGAGAGCGCGGATGGAGGGGAAGGAGCGGGAGGTGGGCTCGTCCCCTCCACCGTACTCAGAACGGGCCAGTGGTATTTCCGAGTGTGACGCAGAGCGGGCGGCGTTCTGATGGGCAGCTGGAGAGCAAAAGGCGTCCTGGCGACCAGCAGCAGAGGACGTGGATGGTGCGTGGTATGTGTCGCTGGTGCCTCTGCCGTTCTTGGTAATGTGGTTGCTATTGCTGTTATTGCTGCTGCTGCCGTGGCTGTTGCCGAATTGACTATCACTGCTATGCCTGCTGCTGCCCGTTAAACCCCCCTCTTCTCCTGCACCCTCTCCGGCCTTCCCACCCGCCCCCCTGCCGTCCAAACTCACGCCCCTCACGTGTGAGAACGATACAAGGGTGGCTGGTTCAAGCGTAAATAGCGGAACCTCAGGAGACGAAGGAGGGGAAGGAAGCGCATCCAATGATTCTACCCTTTCCCCTCCCTCGCTCCCAACAGGCCCTGGTGTTACTGCCGCTCCCACTCTTCCCTGCTCCCTTGCTTCTGTTGCTGCAACCCCCGGGGGTTGAGTGAACGGGGGAGGCGTTTTTTCCCTCCGCCAGGGGAGGTCGCTACTGGTGAAGGCTGGTAGGGTGAGCCGGGTGGCTGATGCATCAGGAAAACCGCTGCCACTATCACCACTGCCGCTGCCGCTGCCGCTGCTGTTACTGCCGCCGCCGTTGCTGCCACCGGCACTGTCCCCACTGTCCCCCCCACTGCTGTTTATGCCGCTGATGTTGATTCTGGGAGAGTAGGGATATATGGGACCTCCAAATGCGCCCATGCCATGCACACGCACTGCTGCTGCTGCCTCTGCCTCCGCCTCTGCCTGTGCCGCTGCCTGCCTCTGCACCTGCGCTGCTGCTAACGCTTCCATGTCCATGCCTCGTCTCGTTTCTGGAGAACTCTCAGAAGCTAACTGGTCTCCTCTTGCCAATGGCAGATCAACAGCATCAGAAGTGGAGGCTCCCTGTAGCCCCTCTCGCGGTCTCTCCCCCTGCCCCTGCCCTTCTCCTAATCCCTGCCCCTGCAACTGCCCTCCCCGTGACCCCTGTGCCCCATGCCCCTCTTCCCAACCGCCTGCCCTTGGCTCTGCCCGTGTTGCCTCGCTAGGCATGGCCTCGCTGCTGCTCGCTTGACCAGTGATTTCCCCACTGCTGCCTTCCCCACTTCTGCTACCATCAGCGGCAGCAGCAGCGGCAGCAGAGGTAGACAAAACCGGTGCATGCACAGAGGGAGGCAGGGGAGAGGAGCAAGGGAGAGGGACGGCGGGCAGGGGGAGGGAGGAGAGAGGAGGGACGGCCGGGAGGGGGAGAGTCGAGAGGTTCCAGGAGGAAAAGCTTGGCGAGGTGAGCTCCACGTCAGCTGCCGCCCGGGGGCTCACACTGCCGCCCTTGCTCCGACTGTCCCCACTGGCGCCGCCGCCGCTGCTGCTTCTGCTGCTGCTACTCGTCGTGCTGCCATTGTTGTCCCTACATTCCGTGCCCTCAACCCCCACGGACGCAGATGCAAAAGACGAACCGGGAGGAGGAGGAGGCGCAGGCGGGGGAACCGAAGCAGCTACGGCACTTGTGCTGCTGCTGCTGCCGCTGCTGCTCAGTCTGGCACTCATTCCAGACCCACCCGCACCAGCCACACCACCTGCAGCAGCACCCGTCGCAGGAACAACCCCATGCCTACTGCGGCGACGCATGCGAGAGGGCGAGGAGGGCAGAGCCGAGTCAGAAGCAGCAGCAGGGCTGCGAAGGCCAAAAGGGCTGCGAACATGAGCATCAGAAGGGCTTCGGAGGTCAGAGGGGAAGACCTCGAGACCCACTCCCAGGCGGTTCAGAGCCTCCAGTTTGCTGGTAGAGCCGCTGTGGATGCTGTTGGGAAGTGACAATCCCCCTGGTGCTGTGCTCTTCCCTGCTTCTTCTTGCCCCTGCCGCCTTCCCTCACTGCCCCCTGTGCTGGTTCGTGCTGGGTCGCTCTCTCCTCCTGCTCCTCCTGCTCCTGCCGCTTCGTCTTCCCCAGCAGCTTCTCCTGCTGTTGCTGTTGCTGCGGCTGCAGCTGTCGTTGCTCCCTGATCCGCCACGTGTCCCTGGGAATCAGCCGAAGCCCGTGCGTCCGCACCACCTGACTCAGCGGCTAGGCCATCTGACTCAGCGGCAAGACCACCTGACTCAGCAGCTGCAGAGAACGCGGCCGAAGCAGGCGGATATGAAGGAGGGTGGGTGGAGGAGGGATGAGACGGTGACTGGGACGACCCATGTGTGGTCGATCCAGGGACGGTTGCAGCAGAGGGAGAGGAGGGGAGCGTGGGGGAGGAGAGAGAGGACGAAGGGGAGGAGGCCTGATCAAGGGTGAGGATGTCAGGAGCGGAGGAGACAGGAGGGGAGGTGACAATGTTGAGCGATGCTCCAAAGAAGCTGTCCATGTCCTGCCGAGGAGTATGTGTGGTTGATGGGAGGGACATGGAAGAGGGAGGTTGAGGCGAGGAAGATCAGGATGGCTTTCCACGGCATTTCCCATTGCTTAACAGCACAGGGGATGTGGCAGCATGCCATGTCATGCCATGTCATGCCATGTCATGCCGTGTCATGCCGTGTCATGCCGTGTCATGCCGTGTCATGCTGTGTCATGCTGTCTCATGCAACGGGTTACGCGGAAACGCAGCAGCATCGCACGACACAGCAGCACGGCACGGCATGCCACGGCACGGACCCACACAGCACAGCAGGGACGTACATCAAAGAGGAAAGACTCCACGGAGCTCCCAATGAGAGCATCCACCGCCCTGCTGGGGGGACTCAGCTCACCCCCTGCTGCTTCTCCTGCTCCTGCTGCCCCTGCTCCTGCGCCTGCTCCTGAATAAGATAAGGATGGCCCCATCCCATCCCCCATGCTCCATGGAAGGTCGCCAATGTCTGTCTCTATCCCTGCGCCTCCCATACCCATGCCCCCCCCCATCCCCATGCCCGTGCCTGCGCCTATCCGCGCACTCGCTGCATTAGCGCCGGCGGCGGAACCAGCCACCCCCGCCCTGTGGGTTCCGTCTTGCGCTCCCCCATCGTGCCCCTCGGGACTGCCGGGGATGGCCACGTGCAGCTGCAGGCGGTGGCGCTGGCGCAGGGGGAGCGGGGTCTCGCGCGGCTGCGGAAGGCGGAAGCGGGGCCGGCGGAGACGCGGGAGTGTTGAAGGGGAGGTGTGAGGGGGGAGGGTCAGAGGGGAAGGGGAAGAGGGGGGAGGGGGGGGGGGGGGTGTTAGTCGGATTGGCGGACGCGGTAGGGGCGGAACAGGGGAGGGAGGGGGTATGGAGTAAGAGGGGAGCGAAAGTGCATGAGTTGGTGAAAAGCAAGGCCTTGACGATAGCCCGAGTGGTAAGCAAAATAGGGAGAAAGGCATGGGGTTACAACCCGAGCCGCAACCACATAGAACATGCATGGAGTGAGAGAATGTTAAGGGGCATTAGCACGAAGAAGCGAGTGACAAACAGCGAGTTGTTTGGGATATTTAATGCTAGTATGGCAATACATTGTAACGCGGACAGATTTATGGCAGGTACGCGTTTTAACGCGACACCACATACAGTCACAAAATACCATGTATTTGATATGGGCCTAAAGCCGTGTTCCTTTCCTGAAAAATAAACCTTTGATATCATAACCCTTTGTACGCATTTGTCCCTAACTTGTAATAGCAATTCTCCTGTGTCTCTGTTTCGAGACATTTCATCACCTGGTTGAAGTCATTATCATTGGAGCTTGTCCGTCCCGCCGCTCCGTCTGCGACGGTCGCACCGAAATCGTCGCTAGCCGGGAAACCGTTAGAGCTGTCCCGTTCCTGTTCCTCTCGCCCTCCAATGCCATCGCTTTGGGTTCCAATCCAAGCTAAATCTGGTGGTAAGACAGTTGTCAATGCATTCTCTGTTTCGCCGTATCCGTCGCTGGATTTTCTGGGCTCCATTTCAGCTTCCGGCTCAGCTGTTCCGGGGTCTCACGAGTCAAACTTGAAGCTTGTTAAACAGTAGGAAAGTAATGGTAGGGTTTCTTGCTTGTGCCGGCTTAATAAAGCGTCCATGCTCGTTATGCTGTTCTAATAGAGAGGATTACTCGCTACTTGCCTTGCAGAATGTAAGTCAGCCAACTAAAGCGCAAAATGTTTCTACCGACCCTGTTATCTGAGTGGTGTGGTGGTTGGGTGGTATATTTGGCGCCAAAACTATGTGAGCTTGGGTGGGTGGGGTGGGGTAGAGAGGGATGGTGGTGGTTCTGGTGCGTGCTGGCTGGTGGCGCTGGTGGCTCGGTTCGGAGTCGCTGGCTGCTGCTCGGTATTCTCGGAGGTGGAGCGAGCAGCACACGGTTCTGCGAACGAGCGACTGATGAAAAACCGCAACGACAACTGAAAGCTCGCACAAGGGCAGACGAGGAGTCTGCGACCTGTACGAATTGGCTGTGGCCGTGGGTGCTACGTTTTGGTTTTCAAATCGCCCAAGTTGCTCCTGAGGTCAACCCTCACCATGGCTGGCCTGTATAATTTCTCTGGAGCTTTTCATAACTGACATTCACTTAGCACGGAACTCGAAACTTTATATTCTAGTTAGGCAACCATTTTTCGCTGGAATGAAACCATAAATATTTCCAAGTAGCTAATGGTATCTCTTATACAATCTGGAAACAAGTTAGAAATAAACGTAAAATTTAGGATGTACACATTGTTCAGACCTTGGTCACATCAGCGTTGTCAAGCTGGTGAAGAATGCGACGGCGGCGGCTTGGTTGCATTCCTGAGCCGCAATAACGGCGAGATCGCGCGCATCGGCGGAAATCGCGTTTCTCTCAAAAGAATCGACCTAAATTGCTCCGACCTCGCCACGCGAGCGTTTTTCTTAATTAGATGGACCGCCTTCCCCCCCGCCCCCCCGAACCCGTTTTTCCCGCCCTTCCCCTCCGAAATTCGGGCAGCCGCTGGATTTTTGTGGAATCACAAACAGTGACGAATAAATGCTCCCCACATCATGCCAAATCCTCCGTGTAGTTGTGGCGTGCCACATCAGCTTTCGCAATAGACTCTATAATTTCGGAGGTTGCTTCTCGATCTCCAGAAGCTCTTATGCACAGTGATTGTATCATGTTTTTTTGGATTAGCCCATGCCATTAGATAGGAGCGCAAGAAAACACATAACAAATGACCTATAGTCTTTTCATATCTGCTGATATCTATACGTACACCTGCTTTTGGGAGACATAAAATAAAAAATAGAGTTACATTTTATTCACTCATAGTAATAGTCATTCAAAGTCAAATCAATATCGTCCTCCTATTATTATTATTCTAAAAAATATTGTTACTTGGCATAAAATTAATATAATCCAAATTAGTAAAGGTACTACAACGGCTGATGGAACAACCTAACGTGCACGTCATTTTACATTGAAGAATCAGAACGCCTAGTATTTTGAATTCGTGACTGTTTGTGATTTCACGGGAGTACACACGGCTGCCCGAATTTCGGAGGGGAAGGGCGGGAAAATCGGGTTGGGGGGGCGGGGGGAAATGCGGTCCATCCAATTATGAAAAACGCCCACGTGGCGAAGTCGGAGCAATTCAGGTCGATTCGTTTAAGAAATACGTGATTTCCGCCGATGCGCGCGATCTCGCCCGCAATAGCCAATCTACAGTGGTCAAGTGGGCTCGATATAAGCAGCGAAGCGTTTCGTAAACGAACAGTACAGCTGTCCCAAACCAGGCCCAGGTTACAGTAGATTCGGTCTTCTCACCTGGAACAAAGCCAATCCATTAAAAAAAATTGCCAAAGCTGATTTGTACATTAATGGGAAGCCTCCCACAAACCTTATATCTACACAAGCACGAAGGACATTTTTTTAAAAGATGAAATCATGCCCCACACGGGCAACCTACACTCACCAGTCCCATCTCGCATCGCAGCGTAGATGATCGTTCACGGCACAACATTGTTGTGTCGTTCTGTACGGACGTTCTAACCAACTCAAAAGAAAGGCACTCTCTCCCTTATTGGGCCGTTGCCATCGTGATTCGTGACAAAAAGGTAGAAATTCAAAACGCGTTAAATATCCTTTTTCCCGTGCTGTAGATAACATCACGCCATCGGATCAAATCCCCGCGGCACGGAGCATTACTCCGCTCGCATCTGCACGCCGCGCGCTGAAGCGGAAACATGCGCAGCCGCGGGGCCGCGGACGGCTTCGGCGGGATTTCCGTTGACGGTTTCATCGGGGGTTCCGTGGAGCTAGATTTTGACGAGAATGTTGACCGCAACAGCCCGCGACCCAAGCCCAGTGTAGCTGTGCTCGCGAACCGACTCGTCCGTCTTGGTTCCGTTACCCGATCCGCCGTGAGAACATCCCCGTTAAGAGCCATTGCCGCCGGCGCGCTGCTGATGATGCTTCTGGGAGGATTCGCCGTGGCGCGGTGGTTGGGAGGGGGTGGCGGCGGCGGCGGCTTGGGCGGCTTGGGCGGGAATAAGGAGCGGTTTTTCTGTGGGTCGGAGGAGCACAGTGTAGGAGAAATCAAGCCGTTTATTTTTGTGTACGATCTGGGCGGGGAGTTTACGAGCGACGTGCGGAAATTAGCTCCGTCGTGGTACTCTGAGGCGCATGACGCGGAGAGAGTGCTGTATGAGGTGCGCGGTGTGGGAGGGAAACGGGATGGGAGGGGAGGAAAGGGGAGAAGAGGGGAGGGAAAAGCGAGGGAGGTGGAGGGAAGGGGAGGAGAGATGGGAAGGGAGGGGAGAGGAGTAGGGGAGGGCGTGAGTAGCAGAGGGGGAGAGAGGGGAAGGAGCAGAGGGTACTATGGTGGGATCCCGTTCTAGAGGCGAATATAAGGCCAGAAGCGACATACGGTAGGTTGAAGGAAGGGGAAAAACAGGATCCTCGCCAATTCCTGGAGAAAAGAAAATGACATAACAAAACTTGAAAATATTCAGAGGCGCCTAGAAGAGCTAAGGATTCCAAAAAAAAAAAAAAAAAAAAAAAAAAACACTCCTCTTCACTCCTTCCCCTTTGCAGCTCCTGATGGGGTGGGGAGCATGGCGCGTACATGGAACCCAGCCCAGGCGTCCCTCCTCCACCTGCCCTTCTCCTCCCTCCGCTCCCTTCTCTTCTCTTCTTTCCCTCCGCATCCCCTTCATATTCCTCTCCGTCTCCCACCGCCACCTACCCCCTGCAGCACCTGAGGGCGAGCAGGGCGCGCACGTGGAACCCAGCCCAGGCGACCCTGTTCTACGTGCCCTTCTTCTCCTCTGCACCTCAGGCCTCCTCTCCTCCGCTCTTCCTTTCTCCACCCCCCAGCACCTGATGAGTCTTTGAGGCGCCCCATTCTCCCTGCTCTCGCCCCGAGATTTCACCCCTCTCCTCGCAACCCAACCCCTCTCCCCCGCACCCCTCCTCTCCCTCTGCTTCTCCCCATCCACCCCCCCCTCCCCCCCACCTTCCGCCCCTGCAGTACCTGAGGGTGAGCAGGGTGCGCACGTGGAACCCAGCCCAGGCGACCCTGTTGTACGTGCCCTTCTTCTCTGCTCACTACACCGCATGGCTCTCCCAGGACCGGCAGCACACTGTGGAGCAGGCTGTCAAGGCCACGTCGCAGGTGCGTGGAGCAGGGAGTGGGGGATGCGGAGGTGGGGGGAGGGGGGGGGAAGGAGGGGCTCGCTGCGTGGCACTTTTAACACCAGCAGCACCACGTGCAGCAAGGTGGTGTGCTCTCGTGGGCGACAAGTGGAACGCAGAGTGGAGGAAGGGGGGGGAGAAAAAGGTGACTTGAGAGGGGGAGAGTGGAGACAGAGGTGGGGGGGGGGGGGGGGGGATGCGGGAGTTTGAGGGAGTGAGGGAGACAGCGGCGGCGCGTGCCACTTCTCTGTGCTTGCCGGGGTCCACTCACGCTGCCTCTCCTCGTCTTCCTCTTCCTTTCTCCTTTTCCCCCAGTATTTCTCCTCTTCTCTTCCCCCATCTCCCACCATACTTCTGCACTTTCCTTTCCTTCTCACTCCCTATCTTCCCTCCCAACTCCCTCCCTCCTCCCTCCCCCCCCCCCCCCCCCCTCCCTCTTCCCCCCTCAGAAGTGGCAGCAGCTGCTGACGCGCGTCCGCACGGCATACCCGTACTTCAACCGCAGCGGCGGCGCGGACCACTTCTCTGTGCTCTCCACCGACCACGCGCGCTGCCATGCGCTCACCTTCCTGCCGCCCGCGCTGCACGCGCGAATGTTCTTCCTGCAGATGAATGGGGATGCCATGGTTCGCAGCATTCACACTCACCCGCAGAGAGGCATGCAGGTTGGGTCTGTGTTTGGGTCTGGGGTTGAATAGCCCGGAATAGCCCCAGAATAGCCCCGGAATAGGCTGAATCTCCGCCTCACCTGAGTGACCTCCTTTTGAATGGCGTGGTTGTGGTGCCACACAGGCTGCTCGTGCTCGTCGTCCTGCCCAGAGCTGAGCCGCAGAAAAACTGGGATGGAGCGATTCACCACAGGGATGACTGTAGCTGCGGCCACTGCAGGGGTTGAGAGCGGCTGACCCTGCTGTTGCTGCTGCTGCTGCTGCTGCTGCTGCTGGGCGGTGCTGCTGTGCTCGAGTGTGGGTGGAATTACGATGTCTAAATCAGGGCTGGTGTGGGGCGGAGGGACGGGTAGCAGGACGGGGGGTAGGTGGGAGAGGCATTAGGGGGATTGTGTTGCAACAGGAGGAAGGGAGCGGAAAGGAAGGGACGGGAAGAGACCAAACGGGAAGGAAAGTGAAGGGAAGGGAATGGAAGGGAAGTGAAGGAAAGAGATGGGGGAAAAGAGTGATAGGAAGGGTACCGATAGCATGGAATGTCAGGGATGTCTGTTGACCCGGGGCTATTCTGGGGCTATTCCGGGGTTTTTTCTTATGGAATCCTAATTGTGGAATCCTAATTCTCCGTGCTGCCAGTGCTGTACGCCCTGTACGCGCGCATGTTCTTCCTGCTGATGAATGGGGAGCGTTTCACTTGGGACCTCTGGAAGCAAAAACTAATCCATGCATGAATGTGTGTGTTTGTGTGTGTGTGTGTGTGCACATGTGCGTGCGTGTGTATGTGCATTGCACTCATGCATCTTCACATGCCCATCATCACCATCGCATGCCCATCATCACCATCGCATGCCCATCATCAACATCGCATGCCCATCATCACCATCGCATGCCCATCATCACCATCGCATGCCCATCATCACCATCGCATGCCCATCATCACCATCACATGCCCATCATCATCATCAGGTACTGGCATACAACTATGGCACAAACGGGTCAACAGACATCCCTGACATTCCATGCTATCGGTACCCTTCCTATCACTCCTTTCCCCCATCTCTTTCCTTCACTTCCCTTCCATTCCCTTCCCTTCACTTTCCTTCCCGTTTGGTCTCTTCCCGTCCCTTCCTTTCCGCTCCCTTCCTCCTGTTGCAACACAATCCCCCTAATGCCTCTCCCACCTACCCCCCGTCCTGCTACCCGTCCCTCCGCCCCACACCAGCCCTGATTTAGACATCGTAATTCCACCCACACTCGAGCACAGCAGCACCGCCCAGCAGCAGCAGCAGCAGCAGCAGCAGCAGCAGCAGCAGCAGCAGCAGCAACAGCAGGGTCAGCCGCTCTCAACCCCTGCAGTGGCCGCAGCTACAGTCATCCCTGTGGTGAATCGCTCCATCCCAGTTTTTCTGCGGCTCAGCTCTGGGCAGGACGACGAGCACGAGCAGCCTGTGTGGCACCACAACCACGCCATTCAACAGGAGGTCACTCAGGTGAGGCGGAGATTCAGCCTATTCCGGGGCTATTCTGGGGCTATTCCGGGGTTTTTTTCGCGGCTATTCCGGGGCTATTACGGGGGACACCTCAATACGTGCTTCAATACGTCGCATTTGCTGTGCTTCATCCCTGAGAGCGACGAGCACAAGCAGCCTGTGTGGCACCACAACCACGCCATTCAACAGGAGGTCACTCAGGTCAGGGGGTGATTCAGGTGAGCGGGTGATTGATTTGAGCTGTGCTGCTGTGCTGCTGTCGGGTCACAAGCTCAATTCTATGAGCAGCAGATGCCTCCCATGCCTCACCTTTTTCCCGAGAAGCACACGAGAATGCGTAACCGTTGAGTCAACCCAATAAGGCTGCCCAAGTGTTCTCTTCTCCCTACTTGCTGGCCTGAAACATGCTTCTCCCTACTGCTCCCAAACCCTATCCCAAAACTCCGCCTGCCACCCACACCCATGCACACACCAGCTAGTGCGGAGCAGGGCGGAGGAGGGGTGGGAGGTGGGGGCGAGGGGCGCAGCGTGGGCAATGGAGGAGGGCATGCGGCGGGCCACCTTCTGTATCTGCCCCCCGGGACACGCCCAGTGGACCACGTGTCTGGGCAAGGTGGGTGTGGTGTGGTGTGGTGTAGTTTGAATACAGCCAGCTAACATGACGACCGTGCGTTTCGCACATCAGTCTTCCCCCCCTTCGCTTCTTCTGCCTCTGCCCCACGGGACACGCCCAGTGGACCGCGTGTCTGGGCAAGGTGGGTGCAGGCTAGGCTGGTACTGCCCCCTGGGTTCCTTCCTTCCTCTGCTCCTACAGCTTTAGAGGCACCTCAGAAGATATTCGAGTCAATTTTTTAGTGGACTAGAAAATCCAAGGTGGGTGCAGGCTGGGCTAGCACTGCACCCTGGGTTCCTTCCTCTGCTCCTACAGCTTCTGAGGCGTCTCAGAAGCTTCCAGCTAGGTTCATCTGCTCCTTAGAGGTTCTCCCATCCCATTTGATCACCCGGCTTTAGAGGCGCCTCAAGAGTGGATCATCCAGATCTGCCGGGCCGGTGTAGTAGGGTAGTTTGTTGCATGGTGCGGCATGAATCAGCATAGCTTGGCTATGTGCTGCTTGTCTTGTTGCTTCGGTACATTTTTCCCCCTCGCTGTGCTCCTCTCTCCACCTCTCTCCAACGCTCTGCGCCTCTTTCCAACTTCTGTAGTAGTCAAGGCGCATGTGTGCCCGTCTCTTGTCCTGCAGGCCGTATTGACAGGATGCATACCTGTCACCTTCTTTCGAGACAATGACAACCCATGGCAGGTGGGACTGGCAGGTGGGACAGGCGGAGCATGGCAGTAGCATGGCAGGTTGGACGAGCATGGCAGGTGGGACGAGCATGGCAGGTGGGACGAGCATGGCAGGTGGGACGAGCATGGCAGGTGGGACGAGCATGGCAGGTGGGACGAGCATGCATGCATGACATAACAACTGCCCTTGCCGCATGTGTTTTCTCTCATTCACTCTGCTGCTGCTTCTGGGGCTATGGGTCCTTGCATATTTTGTGGACTCCCAAGTCAAGCTTTATGCTGGTGTGTCTTCACATAGCAGTGGGCGTGCTCGTGTGTGTGCGTGCGTGCTCGTGTGTGTGTGTGTGCGTGCTCGCGTGCGTGCGTGCGTGCTTGCGTGCGTGCTTGCGTGCGTGCGTGCGTGCGTGCGTGCGTGCGTGCGTGCGTGCGTGCGTGCGTGTGTGTGTGGGTGTGTGTGTGTGTGTGTGTGTGACACCCTATGCTATTGACACGCTTCAAAAGCCAACACCCTATGCTTCTGATGCATGTGCCAAGGCACAGCACACGACGCACAACACTGCACCGCACCGCACTGCACCACGCCACACCACACCACAACTTACCTCACCACACCAGCACCTCGCTGCACCGCATGAGCAGGGCGTGCTGGACTACTCGCGATTCTCCATCAACGTGGACCCAGACGACATCCCCTCTCTCGCGGACCGCCTAGATGCTCTCCTGCACTCCCCTCCACTCCTGCTCCGCATGCAACGCAACGTGCAAGCCGTGCAGGTGGGATGGGGGGAAAGGGGCTGCAGGAAGGGGGGGTTGCAGGAAGGTTCTTCTTTTTGGCCGCCTCAACAGTTGCTGTGCTGCTCACCCCTCCCCTCCTGCTCCACCTGCAACACAACGTGCAAGCTGTGCAGGTGGGATGAGGAGGGGGAGGGGAACGGTGAGTAGGATGGGGAGGGGGAAGGGAAGGGAATGGGGGAGATGGCGTAGAATGGGGAGGTTCGGTTGCTTGTATCAGCTGCATCTACAGCCTTTCCTCTGTGCTGACTTTTGAGTCGACTCAAAAGTCATCTGCATCTACAACCTTTCCTCTGTTCCTCCCTCTTTACATCGCCTGCTCTTCCCTTCGATGTGTTTATGTTCCCGGTCCCTCCTCTCCCCCCTCACGTTCTCATGCTCGTTTCCTCAATACCGTTTCCCTCCCACCCTTGCCCCTTGCTCCAGTGCCCATTCGCCCCCATACCTCCATCCCCTCAACTCCAACCACCTGTCACCCCTCAACATGCTCCCATCCCCCCCATGCGCGAACCCCCTCCCCCACCGCCACACCCCATTCCCCCTCCCCCCTCTCTCCCGCTCCCGCTTCTTCCCCACACCAAACCCACCTCCCCCCTCCCTCTGCTGCCCGCATTTACCCAAACCTCCCACTGCCCACCCCCCCTGCCCATGCATGCAGGCACACTTCTCATGGAAACCCTCTCTGGAGGGTGGAGGAGTGCCTTGAGACGTCTCAAAACACTTCTTCAAACACCCCCCCTTGCCCATGCGTGCAGGCACACTTCTCATGGAAACCCTCTCTGGAGGGTGGAGGAGTGCCGGCGCTAGCAGTGCAGCGGTTATGGTGCCGCGCCAGAGGGCTCTCTCTCTCTCACACAGGCGCCCATCTCAGGCCCTGATGTGTTTCAGTCGACTTGGAACACGCTGGCAGTGCAGTGGTTGGTTGTGGTGTTGCGATAGAGCACTCTCTCTCTCTCTCTCTCTCTCTCTCTCTCTCTCTCTCTCTCTCTCTCTCTCTCTCTCTCTCTCTCTCTCTCTCTCTCTCTCTCTCTCTCTCTCTCTCTCTCTCTCTCGCATGCACAGGTTTCCATTTCAGACCTTGGTGATTTCTCGAATTGAACAGCAGGGTCAGTGTGTCCTTGTTAGTGTCAGTCTTGTTAGTGATGTATGCTAGCTGCTTGTGGTGGGTGGTGTTGTTAGATTATTGGTATGTACCATGTGTCGTGGTATCTCAATGCAAAGAATGGTTTGCAATGGAAGATTCTTGTTCTTATAAGGTGGTGTTCTAAGCTGGCATGGCACCTTTACCTGATTGACTAGACATTTGTGTTCATCTTTTTTTTTCTGTGCGCACGTGATGGGTTGGAAGTTGTCTGTTCAGCCAGTCTGTTCCGCTCATAGCAAACTATTCCGATTACCTTACTACGGTACTACCGGTACTAGACTATCGTGGAATGGTCATGGGGAAGCATGCAGAAATGGCATCTGCCTTATGAGTGGTAACATGGCCCGTGTTTTCAGATGCGGTAGAATCCAAAGCAGCACAATGCAAGCAGGGACACAAAGCACCCTACCCTACCCATAATAAAAAAAGCTACCAACACCAATGCCTACACACACAATCAATCTCAAATATTTAGGATACACATAACCACCCGATAGGGGTTGTGATGGTACATGGACATTGGGCAATCAAGTCATGCAAGTCACTCAGCCAGGGCTGGTTGTGTAGAAATACCCAGAGTGGTGCACACACACTGCCATTGGCTCACCATTTCCCTCTCCCCGCTATCCCACTGCACACTGCCAAACCGTGGCCAACCCATGGAAGAACCCGTGCAACCCAGGAGGAATGCGATGCAAGCCATTGCTGCTGGTACGGTACTCCCCTCCCCTCCAATGCAGCATGTGCAGTGATTGCTGTTACACTGCACATGAGTGCACTATTTGCACGCACACTTCTGACCCGGGTGTGCATGACCACTCATTCTTCCTACCCAACCCACGCATTCCCCATACTTACTCACACCCTATACCCACTCATTCGCCCTACTTACTCACTCCCCATACCCACTCATTCCTCATACCCACTCACTCCCCATGCCCACTCACTCCCCATACCCACTCACTCCCCATGCCCACTCACTCCCCATACCCACTCACTCCCCATACCCACTCATCCCCCGTACCCACTCACTCATACTCTAAGCACAATGCACATTCCAAACAAACTCTCACACACACACCTCCCTCTGTAACCAGACACCCTCCCCAACCATACACATCTCTCACCTCCCAACTCCCCTCCCCTCCTGTCAGCACCCATCCGCACCCATCCCCACACACGTGTCCTTCTTTCCTCTATAGCACCTCGTTCCCCATGCCACTAAAACTAAAGATGCAACGACTACCACTAAAACGCCACAAGCAAGCCACCACGTTGCCATGATGAGTAGAGTAAGAAAAAGCTGCATCCCCAGGCACCTCCGCACCTTGGGTCACTCCCTCCCTGCTCCCCTGCCGTCACGAATGTTCCAATCCAGCTTCTTTTGAAACGCATCAAAAGTTGCCACAAGGAGAAATAAGACAGCTGCATCCCCAGCCACCCTCCCTCCCACCTTGGGTCACTCCTTCCCTGCAACCCTGCCTAGTTTTGAGGTGCCTCAAAACCAGCCACCCTCCCACCTTCCTTGGGTCACTCCTTCCCTGCAACCCTGCCATCGCGAATCTTCCCATCCAGCCTTTTCAGCCCTCCTGCCATCCTCTGCACGCTAGCCAGCGCCAACGCCGCTGCCTGTGCTGCCTCCTCCTCCCTCGTTGCTGTTGCTGTTGCTGTTGCTGCTGCTGCTGCTGCTGCTGCTGCTGCTGCTGCTGCTGCTGCTGCTACTGGTGTTGCTGCTGCTGGTCCTGTCCCTGCTGCAGCCGCCGCTGCCACCGCAGGTCTCACAGGTGCCGTGGCCACATCTCCCTTCCTCTCATTGCGAAACAGAGCAAGTACCTTGTGCCCCAGCCCATGAAACAGCCGTCCCTCCTCAGTACGTGACCCGTCACTCCCCACACCAGCGCACGCCCTCCCATCCCACTGATCCCTCCATTCGTTAGAGGCCCGCGTGCCTTTCCCCGACTCACTGGGGAAATAGGAGCTCCTGGGGCGAGCTCTGGGTGCTGAAGAAGCGATTCGGTGTTTGCCGGATCTGCTCCCACTTGATACGTCCGAATGGCCTCGGGAAGAGGTGGTAGTGGGGGAGGTGGAGGGGGGGGAGGTGTGGGCGGAAAGGTTGGGAATGCGGGGCTGGGTTCGCATGGGGGCTCTTGGTTGCTGTGACACTGGCTGCTGCTGCTGCTGCTGCTGCTGCTGCTGCTGCTGCTGCTGCTGCTGCTGCTGCTGCTGCTGCTGCTGCTGCTGTGACATGTGGCGCTCATTTACACGCATGGGCGAGAGGGGGTGCTGTGAGTCCATCTCCATCTCTTCTGCGAGGCGCAGTGCTGCTTCGAGCTCCAGAGAAAGAGTGTCAGTGGCAGATGGGCTTCGATGCCTGCCGCCTGCAGCAAAGGCACCAGTAGCACCAGCACCAGTAGCACCAGCACCAGTAGCACCAGCACCAGCACCAGCGCCAGCACCATAACCACCAGGAGTGGCAGCAGCATGAGCAGCAGCGACAGCAGCAAAGGCACCAGTGGGAACAAAGTCATCAGTGTTCCTCGCCCTGCCATACGGCGATGCACTCCTGGGGCGCGCAGAAGGATTGAATGTGGCAGTAGCAGCAGCAGCCGCCGCCGCCGCCGCCGCCGCCGCAGTAGCAGGAGCAGGGGCAGTGGCAAAGGCATGTGAAGCAGCTGTGGTGCTGGAGGAACTCTGCGCTATGGGCTTATGGGACCAGAGTGTGGGGCTTTGGGGGCGCAGTTTTGCATGCGCAGCAGAGGGGCTTGGGTGGCTGGCACCTTGGGCACTCACACCGGTTTTGTTATGATGAGGGCGGGCACTCATTGGGGAGGCAGGACGCACTGACCCTGCCACTGACCTTGCCCCTGCTGCCGTTGCTCTTGCTCCTACTGCTCCTGCTCCTGCCCCTGCCCCTGCCCCTGCCCCTGCCCCTGCCCCTGCCCCTGCCCCTGCCCCTGCTCCTGCTGCTGTTGCTGTTGCCATGGCCATGTGCTCGTGTGGTGTTTGCTGCTGCAGTAGGGGGAGCCGAGAACGGATATGCAAGGGAATGGGGGAGAGGCACGCGGGTAGAGTAGAGGGAATGAATGGGAATGAGCGATGACGAGCAGTTGAAAACATGTTTGTATGAGCGTGACGGGATTTTCAAGGCGGTTTGAAAAGAGATGGGGAATGGATCAGAATGCTTGTTCGCTTCTGTGCATGTGTGGTGAAGGCGAGATAGGCAGGAGGGAGTGCAGAAAGAGGAAGACAGAAAGAAGAGGAGGAATGCAGGGAGAGGGGGGTTGGGGAATCTGAAGAGTTTGAGCACTGACCGGAAAAGGAGTAACCGCAGCAGCTGCTGCAGTAGCAGCTGCTGCAGTAGCAGCAGCAGTGGCAGGAGTGTGAGCTTGGGCATGATACCTCCTCGCGTCAGTGCGCCTGTAACCAGCACCACACGCAGGAGACACGGCCTTCCCACTCTCACTCGCATCCCTCTCCTTCTCCCTCTCCATCCCTGTACTCGCTACAGCACCCCATCCTTTCTGCCCCTCCTGCACCTCATGTGTTCCTTCAGGTGACACCCTGGCGCCGTCAGGTGAGGGCAACAGAGGGCGGGTAACGGCCCTCAGGTGGTGGCCCAGGGTGCTGCTCACATTTAATTGAGGCGGTGGGGAAATCCCTGGGTCATGACTCCCCACGCTGCTCCTTCCATCTGAGCTAGTAACGCTGCTATGTGCTGCTAAAAGACCTAAAAAGCTGCCACCAGTGGGACTGGGATCACACACCACACTACTACTACCCATGCCATGCGCCCTGCCTGGCCGTATGCCTTCTGCTCCTGCTCCTGCTGCTGCTCCTGCTGCTGCTGCTGCTCCTGCTCCTGCTGCTGCTGCTGCTGCTGCTGCTGCTGCTGCTGCTGCTGCTGCTGCTGCTGCTGCTGCTGCTGCTGCTGCTGCTGATGGCGGTGGTACGAGGAGAGCAGGTGCAAAGGAGAGTTCCCTACCATAGGGAGGGGGAATGTGCCATGGGGACACATCCCCCGGGACAGCAGCAGTGCCGTGAGTATTCGCTTTGTGTGGTGGGTCAGTCAAAGACCGGGGCACCACCATTGGCCTCCCTTCCCAGCCCTGATTATCAGCAGCAGCACCAGCAGCAGCAGCAGCACCAGCAGCACCAGCAGCAGCAGCAGCACCAGCAGCACCAGCAGCACCAGCAGCACCAGCAGCAGCAGCAGCAGCACCAATGGCACCAGCGGTACCAGCAGCAGGCATGAGCATGTGGCCATGGGCGTCAGACCCACGGCCCAGCTCATCCATTGATAGCCCAGCAGGGTGTGACCCACCGCCAGGAAACCGCACGTATGCAGGCTGTGCTATGGAAGAGCCGCCAGCAGCAGCAGCAGCAGCAGCAGCAGCAGCAGCAGCAGCAGCAGCAGCAGCAGGGGACGGCACCACCCCACCAGCACCAGGCAATAGCCCACCAGCAGCAGCTCTTGATAGCGCACCAGGAGGAGGTGAGAGGCCTGCCACTGGCTCCCAGTAACCTTGCAGGGAACGCCCCGGTGACTGCCTTGAACCTGCTGGAACTGACGACGCTCCCAAGTCAGTCCACCCAGCAGCACCGCTCTGCACACCTCTCTGCACACCTCCCACGCCTTGCATGCTCCCTTGCGCCTCGTGCTCTTTCATCCGCGCCTGCTCCTGCGCCTCCTGCTGCTGCACAATACTGTCAACCATCTCTAACTCCTGATCCAGCAGCTGCTTTATCTCCGCCATGCGCGCTGCCTCCTTTTGGCTCGACTCAAAAGACAACCGCGCCTGCTCCTGCACAATACAGTTCACCATCTCTAACTCCTGATCCAGCAGCTGCTTTATCTCGTCCATGCGCGCTGCCTCCGCCTTATCACGCGCTTTCTTCGCAGCCTCTGCTTCCGCGTCCTCCCCAGGGGCCTTCACCCGGAACGCGTGTGGTGCGAGGGGGTAGATGGAAAGTTCCTGGCTCGTGCAGCTGCCGCGGGCGCCCTGGGCGAGAGATTTGAGGAAGGATTGAAGGCGAGAGGACATGTTGGAAGTGATTTGTGGGATGCCAGCGCGGGTGGGAGAGCTGGTGCCAGCACCTGCCGCGACAGCTTGCGACACAAAGCCCTCGTGGACGCGCGCTAGTAACGCGTACGCCTTGGGCCGCGGAAGAGACGCGGACTCGTACGCGATAAGAGCGTACGTGAGCCTTGAAACGGGGGGCATGGAGGAGGAGGAGGAGGAGGAGGAGGGAGCGGAGGCGGAGGAGGGGAATCTGGGCGGGCTGTTGAGCTCGGCGGGAGGAAAAGGGAAGGCGGAGAAGAGGGCCATAATGCCCCCCTGGCCCTGCGCGGATGAGCGATGCAGGGCGCGAGAGGAGTCGTGAGATGCACGAAAAGATAACAGGTGGAGAGTAGTGGAAGAAGGGGGGAAGGTGAGCGTGAGCGTCATGACTCATGAATCTTTCCCCCCACCCCTCCGCCTCCCCCCTCCCCCCCCCCCCCCCTTTCCCCGCTCAGCCCCCCTTTCTCCCTACTCTCCCACGCTCGGCCGGAATTTGACGCAAGAGCGAGGCTTACCACGGAAAATCTGCTGAGGTAAGGGGGGAGCTCCTGAGCGGAATCACGCACGAGTGGCTCCCAATCCTGCTGCGACGAGTATGAGACGAGAATGTTGCCATCGCAGATCACGCCGAGAAACAGCACCAACTGACGCTGCTGATCCTTACCCATTTGGATCCCTACAAGAGATATATAGAATGAAGAAAGACGGAGAAATGGAAAGCGCAGGTTGCTACCACGGCTAGGAATCCCTTATTGATTGGCAGAGCGGATCGAATGTGCAGCTCTCCTCCAGATGCAGGCCCACGATTCGGGCGCCTTACGAAGGTGGTGAAAGAAACGGGGGTGTATAAGTCATCTTGGTGTTGCCGCTAAAAGGCGGGAATGCGGGAATGCGCTAAAGATAGAAATGGTGGACGTGGTCCTGGGTTGGAAGGAACGGCAGTGACATCGAGCAGTGATGTCAAGATAGTCTGGCTATGCAGCAGGCTCGGTCAATGCGGGAGAAAGGAAGTGACATGGAAGAGAGGAGAAAACCAGGCGACAGGGGCAAGCGGACGAAAGTATTGACTGCGGAAGATTGCTGGGAGGAGCCTGCCAGGATTCCTCCAGCGCGGGCAGGTGAAAGCATGTGGAGAAACCAAGGGTCCTCCGCTGTGCTGGCGAAGAATATCGGCTCTTGTTACTTTCTGTAACAGATCATGCTGTTGAAGTGTTTATGTAAGGAATTTTCTCGGATTCCTTACTGGGTCACACTGTACGCGTACAATTTTTTCGGAAACCCAGGCTCGGTCCGACGACCTCGCCTTCCGAACCACCATCGCGTCGCCTTCGGGTTTCCCAACCCCAAACCTGCACCCAACCATCTCGCGACCTCGGCCTAACTAGCACCGCTATATTAATTCTAGGCCTCGATGTTTGCTCAGACGTTGTAATCACTTCCGCATTGTTGAATACTGCGCACTCTTCTCTTTCACAACTCATAACAGTTTACTTGCTAACGAACTGTCAAATGCTTCATTCATGCCATAAGCCTTGACGACCAATGTACTTGGAAGATCACCATAATTCATGTCCTTTTGTCAGGGCTAGGCAGCCTGATTCATACAACAATTCTGGGCGATGCAAGCCAACTTGCAGGACATGACTGCAGAGATGGAGCGCCTGAGGAAGGAAAGCGCCGAACAACACCAGGCGCGTGGTGAAGCGCGCCAAGAGTCGCCTGTCGTTGAGGACGCAAGTAGCAGCTCCACACCAGATGAGCGGGTCTGGAGCGAATTGGAAGGCTCCATGGATGCAGACGATGGGAGGCGGGCATAGCAGCAACAGTCGTAGGCAGCACCGACACGTGCAGCAGCGACAACTCCGGCGACGACAGCAGGAGCGCCAACAGACCAAGCAGCAATAACGGATTCGACAACTGTCAAAATCAAGCCGACGAACCCGCCCTCGTTTAACCCAAGTGACAAGTTCGTCACTGTTTCTGCATGGTTGTTCGGTGTGGAGGTGTTCTTTAATGCTGCTATGATACGATGCCACCCGCATTAATTTCGCAGTTTCACTGTTAAGAGGACCTGCGTTGGAGTGGTGGCGACGAACGTTGCAAGACGAAGGGACTTTGGAAGGAACAGAACGTGCGAATGACAGGACTTCGACACCTGTCACAAAACGAGCAGCTTCGATTTCGGGACGGCTACGATACGCACATGGAAGGAGTGGGGCGCCGCCCTGCGAACCAGGTTTGAGCATATATCCGCCTCAGACTCTGCTCGCATGAAGCTGCGTACCTGGAAGCAGCTGACTTTAGTCCAAGACTACACTAGCATATTCTGCAACTTGGCTAACCAACTGGACGACATGAGTGATGCGGAACGGCTGGATCGCTACGTGGCGGGCCTGAAATATGAGATACAGTTCTAGGTCCGACGCACGTGACCACACAACTTTAAAGACGTCGTTCGAGAAGCCGAGTCAACGGATGCACTGATGCAGTGGGCGAGATCGAGCTCCCGGGATGGCCCTCGATTTCGTGGATCGACTCAGCAACCTGTCAACGGGAGTTGGGTTTGGCCCCGTCCTCGCTTGGGCGGAGTTGACTTTGTGGTCGGGTGTGAGGGGAGCAGCCGACGTGCAGCGGTGGGCGAGCTGGTTGACAAGGAGGTCGACCTGCACCGGGGCCATTGCATGGGCGCCGACTTCAGGATGGTGCCGACTTCGGGGTGGTCGACCCGGGAAGTCGACCTACGGAAGGCGTTGACTTGGTGACGCCGACCTGGAGAAGCCGACTAGGGTGGTCGGCTGGTAACTGTGCTAGTCGACCAGAAGTGGTGTCGACCTGGTGGTCGACCAGGACGTTGTGGTCGACGAGGGAGGGGCCGACGGCGACCATGACAGGGAAGGGTGGGGACGCCGAGCTGGAGGGCGTCGAGGAGTAGGACGCTGAGCAGCTGGGCGTCGAGCAGCAAAGCGCCTGGCGGAGGGCGCTGAGCATTGGGGACGCCGGGCTTGTGCAGCCGACGACCGACTGAGCTGGTCGACTAGGCGTGGTTGCCGGGTCAACTGAGATACCCGGGCGACGTGTGCGAGTGTCGCCGGGGTGGAGTCTGCGAGGCCGACCTCGGGGGTGGTATCCCGAGGTCGACATGGCTGGAAGGCGCAGTTGCTGGTGTGGAGCCGACCTGGGCGTCTGCGCTGTGCACGTGACAAGGAAGTGCGCACCAACTAGCTGCGCGCACCTACGAAGCAGGTGGACCGTTGTCCTGCGGGTGCGACGCTGTGCAGCCGACTTGCTGCAGCGTTGGCACACCGTGGGCTTTCAACGTTGGCGGACCGCTACTCTGCTACGCACGAGCGGTGCGAGCGCTGCTACGCTGGAACGCGGTCGACCATGCTGCGCTGGAGGTCGACCAGCAGCCTAGCTAGCTCTGATGTGGTCTGTACTGCCAATGTTGTTGCAACCTTTCTTAGTAAAACTCTTGCAAAATTGCCTCGTGAACTGGCAAGCGGTGTAAGCATTAGGAAAACGACTAAGGAACAACAAACGCAGTGATCACACGAGCACCCGTGCCTAGCCTGTAGTATAGCTCTCGTTGTAGTAGTTAACTCCGCATGGTGCGGTGAGCATGGACGGCACACGACTTACCTTTAAGTTGCTCGTAGGCCGGCAGCCGTGCAGTCACTAGCGTGTGCGTAGGTGACGCAGAGATGATGGACACCCTGGAGGCATGGCTAGAGGATGCGAGGAGACGGCATGAGGCCCAGGAGTACGGGGCAATACCCTGGGCGGTCGTCGAGGCTGGACTCCGCACCATGTGGGCGTCGGAGCATCCCCCTTCTCGACCAGCTTCTCCTCGACCGGTGACCAACAAAGGCGGCATCGACGTGGGCGTCAACGCCGGAGGTGGCCAAGTCAGCAACAGTGCGGGAGGCACGTCGAGGCAGCGTGGTGCGATTCACGCCGATGAAGTCGGCGGCGTTCAGGCGCGAGGGGTGCAGACGTCGGCGGCTGCAGGTTCCTCACAGGGCGACATTGGAGGGCATCGAAGCAGACTGACGCCGATGTCGGCGTCCTAGGTGACGGCGCGCGGAATAGTACCGGGCTACGGCTACTTCAAATTTACACCGGACAGGATCTTGGTCACCCCTCCGCTGGTCGGTCGACACGACATTCTCACATGGAAGGAAGCCATCGAGCCCCACCAAGAGATTGCCGGGCTGATCAGCTTTGCTCGAGGCACCGTGGCGACGCCGGAGGACCCCGACATGCGTGCAAAGTTTCGCGCCATGCAGGTGTTGACCTTCACAGTCATCTCGCGGTGTTGCTTGCCAGGCGTGCAGATCACCTTGAAGTGGTGCCGAGAGTACCTTGACGCCGGACATCGGGTGTGGCACTTCATCGAGTCGACCTACCAGGTCACCGACGACTTGTACATCGCCCAGCTTGAGGGCCAGCTGACGCACCTGCGTATGGGCGACAAGGAGACTGCTACCGACTACTGCAACCGAGCCTGGTGAATCCTCGCCACCAAGGATGACCGGCGCGTAGTACTCGATAGTGTCGTACATCACGCACGTCATGCAGGGACTCTCGAGCAGATGCAACCTCCTGAAGCGATTGTCAATGGCGCCGAGCACGAGGGCGACGCTCAACGAGGACAACTTGACCTCGTACATCCTGCAAGATGAGGCGATACAGGAGGCTGAGCGGTCCCAAGAACTCTTGGCGCAGACAAACTTCGTCGCCCTGGCGAGGCAAGGTGGCCGACCGAGGCAGCGTGGGCAGCCTGGTGGCGGTAGTAGCAGCGGGTGGAAGCCGAGAAAGGATGCCGACAAGAAAAAGTCGGCCAAGGATAGCGGTCGTGGAGGAGGAGGTCGACGCCGGGAATGCTGGTTGTGCGGCGACCCCGACCACCTCTCCTTCGAGTGCCCCGACCGCAGTAACTCCGATGACGACGACGCCAAGAGAGGCCGAGGGAGGTCTAGCAGGCGTCGTCCACGTCGAGGAAATGAGCCGCGCAAGGAGAAGCAGTCGAACAAGCCGATCACGGCGAAGGACGCCGACTCCTCTGCTGGCGGCTAAGGGCGCGACGACAAGGAGGCGTCGTGCTCGCTGGTCAACGTCGTGGAGCCGACCGTCTCGTTGGCGCCGGAGGCCAGCGAGGACTTCTAGGCGGTGGCGTCAGCAGTGCAGGCGAACCCGGCGGTGGTCCTGCTCGACAGCGGCTGCTCGCACCACCTGATGGGGACGAAGGAGGCCTTCATCGACTTGGAGCCGAGCGGCGATGTGAAGCACGTGCGCGATTTCAATGGGGCGCTGCAGGACGTCCAGGGCCGCGGCACTGTCGCTCTGCAAGGAGAGGTCGGAAGATAGGTGCTCATCCCCGATGTGCT